ATTGTAAACCATCCTTATATTTTGGGATAATTTGCTGAACTAAACATTGGGAAATCATTTGAATGAAAGGTTTTTATCATTCCCATTTTTGTAAAATTTATTATTTTGAAATTAAATCTAAGGTGTTACACAACTTTCATACTAATTTTGCCAGACCCAGAAAAAATTTGAAGTATATTGTGACATATCAGGACAAGGCCTTGGGTATGTTCTGATGCAGAATGGAAGAGTGGTTGCTTATACTTCGAGACAGTTCCATCCTCATGAAGTTAATTACCCAACTCATGATTTGGAGTTAACTGCTGTAGTATTTGCACTCAAGATATGGAGACATTATCTCTATGGTGCAAGGTTTGAATGGGTCTAGAGAGCTCCTTGTTTTTTCTGCGACTCCTCGCCTAGGCAAGCTATTTCTCGCCTAAACGAGACCCTTTTTTTGCCTAGGTGAGAAGACAGTTGGGGCAACTTTATCTTCTCTCACTTGAGCGAGAATACTCCAGAACGCCTTCTTTTAGCAAATTCTATCTCGCTTGAGCGAGAAACCCTGCACTACAAATTCCTATTTTTCCATTCAAAGGAAATAAAATTGGAGGCGTTACTTGTATATGAAATTATTGTGGAATGTACTTGTCATTTTTGATTGGTTGGTGTGTTATTCATTTATGTATGACTTGTCATTACTGCTAATCATGTTTAATAATGAGAAAAGAAACTCATCCTTACTAAATATTTAAAGGAAGAAGGATGACCAATCCTAGAGAAACATTAGAGTATAAGGAGGATTTATGTATAGTAGGTTACATTTTGTGTTTAGAGAGTGGCAACGGTTCTGCCACTATAAGTTTAATATAGATATTAATGATGAAACGAGTAGTATATATACCTTAGAAATAAATATAGAGTATAGTATTCAATTTGAGTACCCTGTTCGTGGTAGGATTTGCCATACACTTTGTTTATACATATATTGAGGAACGGTCTGAACGCCAGATGCAGCAAATTATGTGTACATGTTCCTTGATCATGACCATATAGGAAGACCCATTCGATTCACCTTCGAGCAAGTGACTGGTGTTGAGGTTGTAGTTGATAACGGTCATCTTGGCGAGAATGAAGATCTGATCTCAGAAGAGTCAACTGAGATAAAGGGTTGGTTTGGGGACGACGACTAGAATCATCCTCAGTATTTTTTTGTGGAGATAACTACTCATTAGAACTTGAGTTATTTTATTTCCTTTTGTAAATTTTGTATATGAGTCCTAATGTAAATTTTGGATCATGATTTGTAATTACTAAACTCTTGTACATTAATGAAAGCTGGTGTATATGTATTTTATTTTAACCTTAGTCTAAATTTATTTATTTCTTATTATTTTAATACTTGTACATTTTTAAGCTCGAGTAACAAAGATGAAAGTTTTAAATTTTATCGAATTTTGCATTATGAATATAAGTAAATTTTACCTCATTTTCTCTTTTCAATATAAATTATTTTATAAATTGTATAAATAAAATAAATATATTACAATTTGGTATCAAAGCAATTCTTCCTAACCAGACTAAGGTATAAGACTAGTTTGTTTGTGTTGTGTGCTCTTATATTCTTGTTTTACAAGAATATGTTGATGATATTGTCATTATTGGTGATGATTCCAGTGACATGCATCGATTCAAAGACCACTTATTGAGCCAATTTTAAACATGATTTGAACCCTCTCAAATACCTTTAGGTATTGTAGTGTGCAATCCTCTGGTACTGTCATTTTCCAACTAAAGTATGCTATGGTTATGCTCATTGGCCTAGTATACTCAATTGTCGTCAATGTGATACTTTTATGGATCACAATACTAAGCTTCTCTTAAGTAAAGGGGAGCCATCAAAATACCCGGGAGGATATCACCATCTAGTATACAAACTCAGCTATCTCATTGTTACCATACCTAACATCACCTTTGTAGTTAGTGTGGTGAGTCAGTTTCTAAATGCCCTATGTGATATAGCCATTCGAATGTTGAAGAATGGATGTTGTATTTTCAGTGTATAAAAAATGCATCAAGACAAGGACTATTATATAAGGATAATGGTAATGTCAAAATCACTTATTATTCTTATCAAATCAGACATAATCATCACCATCAAATAGAAGATCCACTTCTAGATCACAATCACTTGACATATGATTTCTTGGAAGAGTAAAAAGCATAACATAATTGTTGAGTCCAATGTCAAAGTCAAATATCGTTACATGGCTTAGGAAACTCTTTCAATAGTTAAAATTAGGATATATTCAGAAGATAAAAATTATTTGTGATGATCATATAACATGCGACATTCATATGCCTTTTCTCTTATAGAACATTTTTGGAATAACAATTTATACAAAGATCCCTCGTAGTTTTGTTGCCAAAGCAACATAGTTGATCAAAGGTGAACATAATTGGTTGCAATCAAACAACTAGAATTGCCATAACATCACATTTGATATTGAATCTTAGATCTACCCTTGCCATTGCCAAAGCTAATATATGATTGCCTAGATCCAACACCATTGAGATATACCAAACCCTAGACAAACCTTAAAGATTTCTCCTATCAATCAACATGAACGACACACTTAATCCTCTGTTAACAAAGAACTTACTCACCTAAACTTGTGTAAGCCTAGTTCCATCAGATACCTCATCTCACATGAGGTCAATCAATTAGTTGATGTTAGCTGCATGACTAAAAGCCAAAACATGAGAGGACCTCAATCTATATAAAAGGAGAGGTTTCAAAGTCTCAAGTACAAACATCTTCTACCTATAGAGAGACTTTGTCAAACTCTTTACTAACCTAAGCATTGGAGTGTTTTTGTAGTAACACCCTCCTTTCGTCATGAAAGATGAAAATCCTAGCAATGCAATTTAAAAATCAACTATTTACATTAGAACAAAATATGAATTTATCCATCTATACAACACACATAATTAAAATAATAAATAAAGCCTACATAACTCGATTTTAAAATTTCTTTCCCTTAGATTCTATAACTTGGATCATAACCTTGCTATGCATTGTTTTTAAAGAAATATGTCACTTCCTGCACAGAGGATAGACATTCGAAACCAATTCAATATTCATAAATTTAACACTTACAATACTACAACTTACATCAACATTGGTACCAACCTACATAAAACTCTTTACATTATCTTATTATCTGTCATTCAATAGCAAAGTAAGTTTACCATTGTATAAATTGTTTTTCCTCTTATAAACACAAAGACACTTGTCTTAGGTTATTCCCCCCAATAAGTCTCAAAAAACCTGTCATAAGAGAAAGGCAAAAGGATAAACCATTGAACATTTCAAATTTTCTTAGTAGTTGAGAATAGTCTCAAGAAACTCACTCAAGGGCAGTGCAAATAGTTGAGACCCAACTCAAGTTTAGGGGAATAAACAAAATCAAGCATAAGATCAAAAACACAAACTAATACCAATTAAATTATCTAAATAATATATAAAATGAACCAAAACACAATGCATGAATTAATTAAAGGTTCTTGCTACAGTACTCCTATACTTGAGGGGTATTGAATATTCTCTCTAGATTATATTAAGATATTAAAAGATATTTACATTTTTTTAAATACACTACTAATTCTACTAATAAAATCAATGGTTATGATTATTTCATGTATATAAAAGCATAGAATATTCTTTCATTTTCCAAAGCAAAAATTAACAATTATAATTGTTCTACATATGCAGAGCATAAAATATTCCTTCATTTTTCAAAGCACAGTAGAATTTATCTTAAATCAAAGGACAAGCAATTTAGCTACTTCTTGGAATTGGCCTACCAAAAAAACTGACAAAGGAAAACCTACATTTCAGCAAGTTAGTAAATGTAATGGAATCAATAACCTCCAAGTTATTTTTACCATTCCTTTTTTTGATAAACCATTCATTCTTTTGAAGAAGTTGTCAGCGAGACTTAGAGCAAAAAATGAAAAACCTTTTAATAGAAGAGATCCAAATGTTCTTCTACGTTCTACAACAATTTTGACAAAGGAGTTTCATGATTCTTCAAAAACTTGGGTTCGGGTTGAAAGGGGCAAATTTAGATTGAAAAAAAAAATGAAAGAAAGAAAGATGAAAATGGTTTGGGAAGAGATAAGAATATTTTTTTGCTAACCCTTATATGCATTTGGAGTTGTTATCTTTTCCAAATTTAATATCATACATTAATGAAAGGTCGTGCGAATGGCCAGGTAAATTGAAGTTGCAGAGATTTTGAAGACTCGCTCCCAATTAATCAGGAACAACGTAATAAACATTAAAATAATTAACTTTTTTAATGGCAAACCAATTAGATTGGCATTGGAATTTTGAAAACAATGAAAATAGAAAATAATGAACGCCTTAAATATAGGTATCGAGAATGTAGCTTCTGGTTATATAGAAATTTGAAATTTTAATTTAATTTTAATGTTGATACAATAAATTATCATTAATAGTAAAATATTTTTATTCATGGAAGCTATTAAAAAGCTTTATGAGAAAAGCTTTTCATAAGGTAACACAGCTCTTCAAACTTTTCTAAAACTGAACCTTCAATTGTATCTTTTCCCACTATTTTGTTAAGATTTATACATATGCTGCTTGATCACAAGGATCCAATTAATCCCTAAGCTATTTTTGATTCCACACATTAGCAGGCATGGTTAGAAACCTTTGATTTCAAGTGTGATTACTTTTACACCACTAATATTTGTCTCCTCGAGCTAGAAAATAAAGGATGATAAAAGATTTGTTAAGATAGTGTTTGACTTTTTTTCTTTATTTTTTACTTCGTTTCTCCTTAAAAAGAAAAGTCGGGTCAAACACAACTTTAAAGAACAATCCTAAAAGTAAATTATTTTTAATGAACCCCTTCCCCCCAAAAATGAATTATAAAAAACACACAAACAAACAAAAATGAAGTGTTTCATAAAGAAAAGCCTAAAAATGTTGGCCCAAACACTGCCTAGATTTGAAATAAAACTTTATATTAATCTGTATTGATCTACCCACATCTTTGAATGATTATAAGATCAACATGGTACAAGCAAAAAATATCGAGTGCTACTAAAACACGGATTGACGAGCAAATCCATATGAAATCATATTTGCAACTGTAACAGCAACAACGACCATGTCATAGTCAGCAAGAACTAAAATAAACCAATCTCTTTTTTGGTGACAAAAACTGAGTATCAATGCATCAACGCCCACATAAAATTTCTGTGGACAAAAAGTGCCAATAAATTGGCCACCTAAAAGAGCTTCGGTATTAACTTATGGCTAGAGAAATACACAACTAAACAAGGTATACAACAAAGTGGTATTACAGTAACAATGTTCTACTGCAAGAACTCTCTAGGATCAGTAACGAAACCAGTCAATGCAGATGCTGCAGCAGTATATGGTGAAGCTAAATATATTTGACCTTCCTTGTGGCCCATTCGGCCCGGGAAGTTCCTATTTGTAGTTGAAACACAAACCTGCACCACCAGCATGTAAACAATGGAGTAAATTATTCAGATTCTCAACCTCATCACTTATGTAGAAAGCATATAAATGCAATATGGCAAGGAACAGGAACAGCCATTCATCACATATAAGCGTTCTATATTGGTTGTGTGCCATGCTATTATTATATAAAGAGCACACTTCTCATGGCCTTACACTATTAAATAAAATGTATTAGATAACCACCATGAAAGTTTAAGTGTTTATTCCAACTTTTTTAAGGCTTATCTTGTCCCTTGCAGGGCCAATACAATCCTAGAAAAGATTTTTAAAATAAAGTAGCTTTCTTTGTAATGAAAAAACACCCCCCAAAAAAAAAGATTTTCTATAAAGGATAAATAGAGGAGCTTCTACTCTTATTGAGAAGAAAAACCCAAATAAGTTAGGCCAAACACTACTTACCTATGTTCTCACCCAACTCTACTATTTTCATTCCAGAAGTCACTTCTACTTTTAAAGAATTTATTTTTCTTTTTACAATACAGTTTTTAAAATATCTACCAATCAAATGAGAAATAAAAAGTACAAATTATCTACAATCATGTTAAAAAGATTTTTTTTCTACCCTTGCTAATTGCATTGCATCCAATGCTGTATTATTGGAATAAAGATCAATATTGACTCTTCATGACCATCAAAAGAGGCACAATTCTTCAAACCACCTTATCAGTTTTTCTCTAAAATATGAAAGCTTATAGAAGCCTTCATTCATCAATATTATTGCCATCATAACTCACCACTAACCATCTTGGCATAGCATGATCAACTGGACAAGTGAGACATTTAGAAGGGCACCACAACTCTTATTCATTACAAGTAAAAGGTTCTAAAAGGTTCAATTAATGTTTTTTTAAATATAAAAATTTCATGTCATGTCATGTCATACAAGTATCCAGGAATGAACAAGTTACTTCTCTTGTAACCGGAGTATTCTTAGGCCCAAGACAGGTCAATGCAGATATTAGCAACTCCTTCAATGTAACAAGGATAAAAGTAACAGAGGTAAAATTTGAGCTACAAGTGTATGTTACAGGATGCTCAGACAGAACTAAGGAACTTGCCTTAGGTTCATTCATACGTGCATAAGTATCTTTAGGACCACCCAAACAAGCACCACAACTAGGACTAGCAGGCGTGTCACATCCAGCTTCTTCAAATATCTGTGAGCAAGTCTTACCACCAGATCCAGGGACTGGGATGCTGTATATGTCCATCCAAACCTGAAATTCCATTAAAAGAGATAAATTGGAAGAGAGTCATCTATCATTATTTCCCAAGAGAAATTTATTACTAACTGTAAATCAACTTATACAAAGATATATAAACATGATAATTTTTTCAGACCTTCTGTGTTGCAGGCACAAGAAATGTGGGAACTTTGACCATTTTACCCTGCAGATGCAGATATCATGTTCTTCATTAGGGGAAATAGTTGTAAGATTAGGATAGACATTAGCACAAACATGTAAGAAAAAGCCTAACAAATTCTAATTGCAAATAAGATAAAATACCATACAAACGTGCTGACCAGTCTTAAACATTTTAGGATACACGTGGTCATACCACTAATGAGTGAAATGTTGCAGTAAACATAGTATTCCACACATATATATAGTAAAGAAGTCTTAGACTCAGTGAGAAAAGCTACTAATAATATTTTATCAGAAAGAACATCTTTTATAATAGAAGATTATAAATATGCAATAGGAAAATATGATACTTACTGATGCCAGAAAAATTTTTGCTGCAGCCATGAAATCCTCTGTTTTCCCACCTGTACAAGATCCTATGTATACTCTGTCAATTTTCACATCCTTGCACTCTCTTGCCAAAGCACGGTTATCTGGAGAATGTGGCTGCAACATTCTCAAGCATAATATTAGCGGTGAACATAGTGACAACATCAGATAATAACATACAGCTGCATGTAAAATAAAGACAGTCCAAGAACTAACCTTGGCCACCAGTGGCTCCAATTTTGAGACATCAAATCTATACTCAGAAAGAAATCTAGACACAAACAAAAGGGAAAGGATGTTAGTAATGGATAACACTAACAATATTAGGGTCTTTCCTACCATATCATATATAATAACACTTGTCCATAAAAACTTATCAAGTCAACATATAAAGTGCAATTTATTGAATACAAGGTGACACACAAAGCATCAACATTGAAAATAATGAGGGAAAACAAGAAGAAATTAGAAAATTATAATTACTTTGCTTGTTGGTCACTATACACTGGTTCATATGCCACAGATGTCTTTCCCTACAAAAAGAAATGGAAACAACATTAAAACAAATGCTGGACAAGACATTGGCAAGTATGCATGGGAAAAGTACCATTCACGTGGAATCATGAGTTCCTACCCATTGTGCTGACTCATCAAAACTTAATGATATGCAATTCAGCAAGCAAATTAATGAAAAGCAATGAAAAAGAAAATGTGATCCTGTCACTGCTAAACATGAATCAAGATTATTCACGATAGACAAAATACTACACATTCCTCTTAAAATAACACAGCCAAACAATTACTAACTTTGAATCTCTAGGTCAAGATCATCTAAAAAACTCTAAACGATTTTAAGATACAATCAAGATATTAGATATTTATGAGATATTCTAACACCCCCTCAACAAGATTTGGAAAGAGAAAAAGATGAGTCAGACAGGTAGAACAGAGGTTGGAGATGTCACCATATGCACCCTCACAACAAAAAGAGAAAGGCTGGTCAGATTTCAATTAGCAATTCATGGTGCCAGTCAGAGCTCCAATGCTAGAGCAATTTTAGGTTGTGGACAATATTGACATAGTACATGGAAGAAGCAATTTGGCAAAAAACTCCAAAGACAAGGGTGAATCTAACATTCACAGTTGCAGAAGCAGGAGAAAATGACATTGGACTTGGGTTTTGTTGGCCAAAATTTGCCACGATAGACAGAAAGACAAGAAGATGATATAATGAAATTCTTGAATTGGTTGTTCTTAAAAATTATCTTCTTTATTTGTCAAGCAAATCTTCAAAGAACTTGATAGTGAAATACTAACAAGAAAAGATACAGAGGATAATATCATTCTAATACCAAGTTTTAAATAAAGGATTTAGATTGTTAGAGTCGTGTAGTATGATTATGATAGACCCCCAGTAAGACAGGTTTACATTAGGAGAAATAAAAGCTGTAACAGGTGATAATTACTGATAGGCAGTTAGTTAGGTGGGACAGTTAAGCCTATAAATAAAATGTAACAAGGTAGAAATTGGAGTGTACTGGGTACCTCGAAAACCCAGAATTAGAAACCATACTGTATCTTCCTCTCTAAGTTCAATTTCAGTTTCCTATTGGAACTGAGTTGAAATCTTTAAGTTTTATCAATAAAGAATCATTTTCAGTAAACTGAGGGTACACGTCTCTATCAGATTACTCCCACAATTGTTATTTTTAAGGGGCTTTCCTTACTACTATATATGTAAGTTAATTGTTCTGTCATGATAAATAAGTCAAAGTTTGAGGACATTTGAGACCTAATGTAGACAAAGATGTTCACAGGAGAGATTTAGGGGAGTGTTCCAGTTCAGCATTGAACATTGAAAGCAAGGGAAGGAATAGTGAGAAGAGTCAAAATCAGACCTAAGGTTGAGGTAGATCAAAGTCTAGTGAGAAAGGTCAAACAAAAGTTAGGAATGAATTAGCAAAGCCCCAAGGAAGAACAAATATAAAAAGCAACAGGATGATGATGAATTTGCAAAGCAAAAAACGAAATTGCAGATGCTTTATTGCAGCTTGGATAGTCTCATTGATTCATGGGTTACGGACTGAGGTATGTTATTCCACACTACACCTTCTAAAGAATTACTTTATAAGTATGTATTTGGAAAGTTTGGGAACGTTTACCTAGCAGATGACAAATTCTTTGATATTGTGGAAAAAGGTGATATTGATATCAAGACGTGTAGCAGAACCTTGTGGACAATGCACAATATCGGACATATCCCTACCCTTAAATGAAATTTGATATCTATAAGTCAGTTGGATGATGAGGAGCATCACACCATTTTTGGAGACAGAGCTTAGAAGGTAATGAAAGGAAACCTTTAACTCACGGAAAGAAGCTAAGATCTATATATGATTACAGTGGAGGATATGGTAGCAATTGAAAATCATACTTCAAGTGGGAGAATTATTAAGAGTTATGCAGTCTGATTAGTCCCACATCTGTTATTTTTAAGGGACTTTTTCTTTCTTATTATTATATATGTTTAACAGCATGTAACATTAAATCCTTGTGACATTTTTCTCTCTCTCTTTTATTTTCTTTTTCTTGTTACTCCCAACATGGATAGGGAAGAAAGAAAAGAGAGAGTGGAGAATCAACATAGTAGCATATTAGATTGATACGAGGCATAATGATGCAATACAAAGCACCAACCCCTATTTAAACTAGTAAATACCATGATAGTTAAAATCAAGTTCTCTTATAACAATAGTAAAATCACTATTGGTTAAACTCCTCCAAATCAGTTGAACTCACTCAAACTCGAATAGAATCATGAGTCCAGAAGCAAGTTTATGAGTTCCAACAGAAAGCCCCTTTTTGGTAGAACGATTTTGTTTGGAACCTGTTTCTTAGGGTTACCCTTTCGCGGTGCAGATTGAAACCATCCACAAAAGCTCTCACGTCTTCTAACCTGCCACGGCACAGGTCACAATCTCCTTCAAACAAGTCACCTTCGTCATGTACGAATCTCAAAATCTCCCTCATTTTTGTCATGCACAGGTCACATCTCCCTTCCTGCTTCAAACCTCCCTCATTTCCAAAAATGAGCGGCAACGTTGTGCGAGAAACTGCAAAGTGCTGCTTGCAGCGGACAGAGAGCAAAGTGCGTGCTCAAACAGAACACATCCTCCAGCAGCGAACAAAGAGTGAAGTGCAGTACCTCCCTCATATCGCTGCTCCATTATTCTGCTATCCAAGTGAGTAAATTTGCAAATTTTCTCTTTGTGAAGTGTGAACAGAATATTGAGTGATTATTGACTTGAAAATTTGCAAATTTTTTTGGTATAGAATGACTCAAGTTGATGGATCAAAATCTTCAAGCAACACAAGCATTTCAAAGAGGATGAATGTTGTTGTAAATAGATCAAATAATGGGTGGAAACATGGGATAAACGTTGATGGTAATGCTAGAAGAGTTAAATGCAATTATTGTTCAAAAACAATTAATGGAGGAACTTTTAGATTTAAGCATCACCTTCCTGGCCTCAGTATTTGAAGAGGTTAAAATCTTTGTGATTAAATTTGTTGCTGAAGCTAAAGAAAGATCAAATAAAAAAAGAAAATTGCTGAACAATGAGGTAGAAGATGATGAGATTCAATGTCAAGATAGTCAACGGATGGATGGAAAACTTTTAAAAAAGGGGGAAGGGTATTTTACAGTTTGCTACACAAGGGAAAAGTGGTGCAGTTCAAGTAACATTAAATCAAATGATGAAGGACTTAAAGGTACAAGTTAATCAAAAAGTTGCACAAATTTTTTATACAAGTGTCATTCTTTTCAATTGTATTAAGAATGTGGAGTTGGAAAGATGTCTGAGATGATTGTTAGACATGGCAAGGGATATAAAACCTTCCTATCACGAGATTAAAGAAAAACTCTTGAAAGAAGCACTGGGCCAAATTAATGCAATGCTTGAAGAATTTAAGAATGAATGGAAGAGAACTGGTTACTCAAATATGTTAGATGGATGGACAGACAAGAAAAGGCTTTCAATTTTTAACTTTTTGTCTTGTATGTGGTTTTCGAATTTATTTGTAGTTATGAACCTATATGAAAAATTATTGATGAAAGGTGGGATAATCAGCTCAATAGACCTAGGATGGTAAATGACCCAATTGTGAGGTATAAGATTCATAATCAACTTCCAGAATTTCATTATACTCAAGGTCTTTTTGGTCTTGATGATGCAAAGTCAAACAAGAAGATTATGCTTCCTGGAATATGGTGGGACTTCTATGGGGGCAGATCTTAAGAGCTAAAAAGGTTTGCTATTGGTGTTCTTAGCTTAACTTGTAGCTCTTCTGGATGTAAGCAAAATTGGAGTGCATTTGAAATGGGAAATAAAGTTCTGATTTTTTTTGTATAATTTTCAACTTTTCTTTGTTTAGTACATTGACTAATAAGTGGTGCTGGACATTGTGCTATTTATTTCTAGGTTTCTACAAAGAGAAGAAATCGACTGTATAAAACAAAAAAGATAAATGACTTGGTTTATGTGATGAACAACACAACGTTAAGAACTAAACAAATAAAAAGAAATCTTATCCTTCCCTTTGATGATATTCAATCTGATGATGAATGGATAATTGACAAGGCACAAGTATAAGACATTGCTGAACTTGAACAACAGTCTTTAAGAGATGAAGTTAGCAATGTTGAAGAAGTTGGAAATTCAAGCAATCCAACTTTAGATTTAGATGGCCTTAAAGATTCAGTCCTTGATCCTAATATTGAGGAACCTCTTTCATAAAAAAAAGACGAAGAAAATTATAATGATGATGATAGTGGTAATGAAGTTGGTTATGATGAAGATGTTCAAGGGCTGAAGATTTGAAGATCATGAGTTATTTGCTCTTTTTGTTAGAAATGTTAGTTATTCACCTCATGAACTTGTGTACTGTGACCTTAAGATTTGAACATTTTGTCTGTGTGATTTTAACTTATTTTATGACTTCAGCACTGTATGATTTCATTATTTGAATGTTTTTTCTATTTTCTTAATTTTTTTTTTTGCATGAGATAAACTCTTACGAGTTTGAGTCGAGTTTACAAGCACTCCATGAGTTTACTTAAACTCTCGAGTTTAACAAGCTTGATAAATACTGCACCAAAATCTTAGTGTATTTTTTAGTGAACGTTTATAAAGTTGAGTTTGAATAAATTTGACTTTATACAATTGATTTTACATAAAAGTGAGTTTAAGGTGATGTGATTCATGTCTGAAAACTTTTCTCATAGAAATTTGTTAAAAAATTCAGAATGAATTTTATAACTCAACTCAATACAAAAGTTATCATTTTTCACATTAGTTCAAATGTTAGTTTGAAGGCAAAATCAAATTTGTTCAAGAGTGACCAAACATCATTTTTTTTTATAAAATCATGTTACAGTTAATAAACACGATTATGTAGAAATTCAACATGATATACTGAAATATGAAATTACTCCTAAGAGATCACCTAAGATACTCTAAATTATTCTACAATATAATCAATATATTGTTAGAAATTTACTGGATTTTTTAACGATGTAAAATCAAAATGCTAATACAAGTTTTTATTAAAAAAAATTCATTGAAAAAAGATAAGTTCATGGAAAATGCACACATATACATATAACTAAGGAGTAAAGACATCAATTTCAGCGCATCTTAGTTGCACAAACCTCAAGATATTTGTATGTAGTGTTATCAGCAGGAACAACACCATTCTTTCCACCAGCTTCAACAACCATGTTGCACAATGTCATCCGTTCTTCCATCTACCCAAGAGGAATAAATTACCAAAACAACACATATAGTCAAAAGAGAAAGAGTTCAGTAATTGAAGAAACAACTAGTTACATCATAGCATAACATGTTGCTAGTTGCTATACATACTTACAGTTAAACTTTCAACAGTTGAGCCAACAAACTCCATAGCTTTATATGTTGCACCAGCCACAGTTATTTCACCAATAATCTGCAAGGTAAATCATTCACTCACATAAGCATGTAATTATATTTTTACATTTGCTAGATGCAAACAGGTTAACAACCCACAGTCAGCTTATGACTAAGAGAAACAAAAGCACAGGATCAAGGTACTTACTTGCACAATCAAATCCTTTGAAAGCAAATAATTGGGCATTTCTCCATCCATTACAAATCTCAGAGTTGGAGGGACCTGCATATCAATAAGCCATATATAAAAATCAATTAGCTCTCTACTGTTAATAAATTGAACAGAAACTCAGAAAGGCACTTTTCCATCTTCATTCTTGTCCCAAAAAATTAAAGAAAACCTAATTTCTGCTTTTGTTAGTTTTCTCTTACAGTATCTCCAATTCTTTTCATTCAAAATGAGAGCACATGACTCTTGGAAATACATAAAATCAGCCAATAGAAAATGGCTAACAATAAAACCAATAATATATTCTTTGAATATATAAATATTAAAGAGAGTTAAAAGAAAGAGAGAGATACAACAAAATTAGCAGCAAATTCTGATTAGCTGGCTGCCAAACTGATAAAAGCGAAATGACATGATAAGCAAAAAAATAATATAAATTAAACCTATTTAAGTCTATAACTACCACATATAAAACCTTAAGGGTGGAGCAGATAATAAAGGTAAAAAATATAAATATTCCATATTAATGAGTATAGTTCAGATCAACTGTAATTCATACAGATTCTGTTAAGTGACATTTCCGTTGTAACTGCTTTTGTGTTTCTGCTGTAACCAAATTCAGGATTAGTACTTTCCTCTTATGTAGGCTACTATAAATAGCTATCATTGATCTGAGTTGAATGAGTTTTTGTAATTCAATAAAATCAGAGTTTTCAGTTTCTCTCAATTCTCTCGCTGTCTCTGTTCTCTCTGCTCATGGATTTTATCATGGTATCCAGAGCTTTTGATCCCAAACCATAGCTCCACTACTTTCAATCAAAGAACCCTAGTTCTTAAAGTTTTCTGTGGCATCAGAGATTCCATCACAAATAAGCAAGATTCTCCACCTGAATCCAGTGTTTCGCCACCTATCTCTGATTCACATTCATCTTCTGCTCCACCTATATTTTCACATCAACTTTCCATCTCAATCAATGAAAAGAATTTTCTCCAATGGAAACAACAGGTTAAAGGTATCATTCATGGTCACAAATTGCATCAATTTGTGGTAAATCCTGTGATTCCACAATGTTTTCTATCTGAAACTGATCAAGATCTTGCGATTGAAAGCAAGATGCTTTACTCAGCATGTGACCTCTCATCGATTTATGATTCTCTGCTTCAGATAGTGGTAAAATGTCATCATTCATGACAAATTTGGGATGAAATCCATAGTTTCTTTCACGATCAACTCACAATGCAATTGAGACAGCTCCAATCTGAGCTGCATTCGATCACCAAAGGAAATCAAACTGTTGTAAAATTTCTGCTGTGAATTCAAGCAATAACAGGGTTGTCAATCAGTCCCTAATTTTCTTCAACACCAGATTGTTTTTTACCTCTTCATCTATGACATCAATATCCTGCCAAAACCATCTAGAGATAGCTTTCAACTCTTTATCTTCCTCCTTTCTAGATAGTGCATCCAAACCTCTATTGGTGGATCCAGCTTTGTAACAATGTCAAACTCATAACCTAGCAGTTTGGCCAGCCAATTCTGTTCATGTGTAGTATCTCGCTGTTCCAGGTCCAGCAGGTATCGAGGACTCTTCTGATCCGAACAAATAAGGATGCCAATGTTGAATGGCAGGAATCAAAGCCATGAGTTCTTTTTCATACACTGACTTTGCTAAGGTAGAATTGGATCGAGCCTCACCAATTGTTCTCCTCTCTTACGATAACACTGTCCCGAACCCTTTACACGTCAGACTCCATGATGCAAGGCTTTGAAAATTCAAGCATGGCTAAAACAGGGACTGAAGTGACCTTCTGCTGTAATTTCCTAAAGGCTTCTTCCGCAAGTGAATTCCACACAAAATTCCCCATTTTTAATAGTTCAGTCAATGGGCAAACAATTTTGCCATAGTCCTTGATGAACTGTCTATAATATCCCATCAATCCCAACAAGCTTCACAACGCTTTGATGGTTTTGGGAATTGGCCATTGAAGAGATAGAGTGAATTTTCCTTTAATCCATCGCTACCTTCTCCTAAGAAATAATATGGCCTAGATGCTCCACCTTAGTTTGACCAAAGATGGATTGGCAAAGAATTGATGCTGTTCCAAGGTCTCCAAAACTTGCTGCAAGTGAGATAAATGTTCTTCCCATATTCTACTGTAGATGAGGGTATCATCAATACTAAAACAAACCTTTGTAGAAATGGTTTCAAAGTGGAATTCATGACACTTTGCAATGTAGCAGGGGCATTAGTGAGGCCAAATGACAAGGAATTCAAAATGGCCCTAGTGTGTATGACATGCTGTCTTTTGTATGTCCTCTTCAAACATCCTAATTTTGTGATAACCCTATCTCAAATCAATTTTAGAAAAGAAAGCAGCTCCCTACAGTTCATCTATGAGTTCCTCCATAATGGGAATTGGAAATTTGTCAGGAATTGTAGCCTTATTGAGGGCTTGGTAGTCTACACAAAGTCACCAGCTACCATCCTTTTTCATTATCAAAATCTCCGGGTTGGAGAAAGGACTTCTACTAGGCCGGATTATTCCTGATTTCACCATCTCTTCTTCTAACCTTTCCATCTCATCCCTCTGTATATGAGGGTATCTATAAGGCTGAATATTGACCAGGTCCGTGCCTGCCTTTAAAGGAATTCTATGGTCATTATTGCGGACCAGAGGCAAACCTGTTGGGACTGCAAAGACTGGTCAAAACTGATGAAGTAATTTCTGCAATTGTGAATCTTGGTTTGTAGACAGTGATGATTGTCCTCCATCCTCCTCATCAACCACACACAACAATATGGAAGCAAACTCTACCTCCTTAACCTTTAAAAGAGACCGAGAGGAAAGCGAAGTTTTAGACAAACTTGGGTCCCCTTGAATATATTATAATTATTATACACAAAGGACATTGTCAAGATTCTCCAATGCACCTTAACTTCCCCCAATGTCTCTAGCCAAGCCACTCCAAGTATTATATCAACTCCACCCAAATTGAGTAAGTAAAAACCATCGCTGATCTTGTGGTCAGACAAAGCCAATTCCAACTCTTCAAACAGCCCTATGAGTCTTTCCTGTACCCATCCTCCAATCGAACCCTGAAAGCAGGTATTGCTGTAATGGGTAAACCCCAATTCCAGCTCTATACCAAGCTTTGAGCAAAGAACTTATGGGTCATGCCACTATCAATTAATACTAGTATGTGAACATCATGCAATAGCCCATAAAGTTTCATCATCTTAGGTTGAGTCATTCCTCCAGCCGAGTACAAAGACAAATTCAACATTTAGCAAGTTATCTCCAGAGACTTGGAATCCTCTATATTAACCTCTCCCTGAACCTGCAATGCCACAATTTCCCCTTCCTCATTCAACATTTCATCCTCAGTCAGATGGTGATTCTTAGACTTTTTACTAGACACCTATGACCAGGCCTGAATTTCCCTCTGCATCAAAAACACCTACCTTCTATTCTCCTTTTGAGGTATTCCTAATAATAAGGCAGATGCATATGCCACCTTGGTTTCGAGGCTGATTTCCGTCACTTCATGCAGTTGAATCTAGCAACAATTTTTGCCCACTTTGATTCATTCTCTTGTCAACAAATACTGCAGATTTATTCAACCACGTAGCTAACTGTCCTTGCACTGTACTACACAAACCCACTACTACTCCAAAAGAAGAAGCCTGATAAATTTGGTTGCGACTATTTGCTCCACCAAAAACTTGCGAAGATCGTTGTTAAGATTTCTTACATTGGTTAGGAATAGAGTCAGAATACTCCTTATAACGACTATGGCAGTCCTCCTCTTATGAGCTAGTTTTGGGAGTGAGTTAGACCCAAGTTTCTTAACATAGTATCAGAGCCTATTCAGTTTGAACATTAGGTTGCCCACAGATGTCCAGTCTTGTTGGATCTAGCCATGCAAATGTCCAGTCCTGCAAGTTTCATGCACCAAATGTCCAATCCTAGGCGTGAGAGGGGGGTGTTAAGATGTCCCACATTGGTTAAAAACAGAGACAAAATACTCCTTATAAGGGATAGGATAGTCCTCCTCCTATGAGCTAGCTTTTGGAAGTGAGTTAGGCCCAAGTTTCTTAACAATTGTAACTCTTCTTCTATCCTGGGCTAAATTTATAACTTTGGTGTGTACATACTTGACATCTCACCTTAGCAAATAATCTGCCCAAGACATAACCTAGCAATTCCTCCTCAATTACTTCCAATGCTTGAGCCACTAACAATTCGATTTCTTGCACATACTCTTCTAACGTCCCCATTTTCGTAAACTCATCAATCTTTCTTAGACATCACCAAGACAATGCCCTCCAAAATGTTGAATCATCATGATGGACATCAACTGGTATGAGAATAAAGACTGAATCATATTCAATTGAACTGATACGGAATTAGAAGTTACATAGGAAATTGAGCAAAACGGGTTGAGTACAAGGCTTCCTCCAAAGATGTATGAGAGCCTGGTCTCTCCCTTCCCGAAACCCCTCAAAAACTGCCTGCCCTCCTTTCTACCTCTTCTCCTATTTTTATTCTGCTCATAACTGCTTAGAGGCAGTTACACTTACCCCCACTAATTAAAATAACATCTCCTAAAATAATTAAAAACTGCTAAGATAATTCAATCCTATTAAAAAACCTAAGTCTTAGCTCTCTTCTTATAATATTTACTTATAAGGGGCCTAACACATCGCTTCTACCAATTTTTTTCTAGGAAAGTACTTGTGCTTTCTTGTGCAAGAATCTGAACTAGTGAATGGCAATCCCTTCCATACTAACAAAAGCAACATGCACCTTCTTTGAGTCCTTTGTTTGAAGCACCTCAAAGAACTTCTCAGCTCTGGCAATCCACCCCAATGGGTTAGTACCACCAAAACAGGGGCAATTCAAACTTCTTTGCCTAAGGGCGGTTGCTTCCTTCACTTGAATTTTCCGAGTTAGAATCTTTTCCCACTTTCAAATTGGCCTTTCAATTGATTCTTTGTCATGATTCAATTGAGCCTCTTCTTTGTCCTACTCCATGCTTATCCCCTATTTTTCCATCCACGAACTTGGTAATTGTTTGATTTCATGAATCCATGTTCTTCTTCATCTCATACATGCTCAACTCCAAAGATCGAAGCTGCAATCCTAGCTCAGGTGGTTTTCTTTAGAAGCTCCATCAATTTTCCAATGACTCAATCCTATGTTCCATTGCGCCACGGTGATTGATCCAGTAGGTCAGACCAATTTGTTATGAACTCTGATAGTAATAAACAGAATTGTGCATGAGAAGAAAACTGGAGAAATAAAGAGTGAATGGAAAGAACTTCAATTGATTTCAGTAGCATCCAAGTAGCCAAGCCTCCTTCAAGGGAATTCCCCTGCAACTTGGTGAATCATTAATTTTTCCACCCCTGGCAAAAAACTAATTCGCTCCTATTATGTGTTTACTTGCTAATAATAACCCTAACTACTAGTCCTAATTGTTATTTCCTTTTTTAGCCTAACAAAACCCTAGCCAAGAGCCAAATGAAAATTGCAGATGTGTACAGAAGGCAGATTTATCTTCTTATGACCATATGATACAGTTAATCAACATAAAAAGAGAAAGTGCAAATAACAAATAGTATATGAAATGAATCTCTCTTCAACGGAAATGGTAACAAGGTCTAAACACAGAAATAAAGGTCAACATATAACAAAATAACAATACGAATATCTCACTCTCTTGCCCAAGCCTCAGCCGAATTCTTACTACAATTCTTCTCTCTCTTGCTCATGCTTCCTTTCTCTCTTATAACCAACTTCCTATTTCACATACCTCTCATGAGTGCCCAATGTCTAGCCCACTCAGCATGACTAACTCTCCCCCAAATCCTTCACCATGTGTAACCTTGTTACCTCTCCTAGAATATACCTTCCAAGTTGTGGCATCTCCATTTACCTACTAATCCAATAACTTCATCTTATTTCTAGAGTTAGTAGACTCATGGATCTCATCACCATAGCATAGTGTTTCCTGGATCACAACATTAAATAATTTGTAGAACATAAAACCTAGGTGGTTCTTCACTCAAATATGCAATTTTTGTTCAAGGAGGATTGGGAAAAGGGACACATTGCTATAGATCAAGCCAAAATGGAGAGCTGATTCAAGCCAAGATTGTACTTAAGATAGTGGTCAGATGGCTACAGGATATGAACAAAATTCTTGGGAGGAAACAACATTGTGGACAAAGTAGACGTGTGTTGGAATTATGTAATTATAGTAATATTGTAAATAGGAAAATTAGTATCTTAGTAATTATGGTAACTCCGTAACTGTATATTCTATGTCAATCATCCCAATTATAAAAATATGTTCTGCCATGTAGTGAAAACACAGATTCATCCTATGTTTCAAATAACCATTTCATGCTTCCACAGAACCACCTCCTTCACGTCCTCTGCAGGTGTATCGCTATCACTAGCCCCTCTCTATATCGCCAGTGTATGTTGATCCTACCTCTGACTCGCTTCTGGTGCCACTCACCCTCTCTTCTCTGGGCTTGTCATTATTCTTTATAAAGGTATATGCTCTACCTGTAATCCCTCTCCTCATTATGTTTCTTTGACTTAGCATCGTTTGTTCTCTTCATATTATACTTATTTGTCTTCCTTGTTCTTTATTTCTATTCCTCAATCTACAGGTGATGCTCCCTCTCATCCCAATTGGAAACAAGCAATGATTAATAAAATGTGTACTCTTCAAAATAGTAGTACTTTAGAACTTGTTCCCCTTCCTCTAAGAAAGTCTCTTGTTGGTTGTAGGTGGATCTATACAGTCAAGGTTGGTCCTCATGGTAAGATTAATCGCTTTAAGACTCATTTGGTGGCCAAAGGTTATACATAGATATTTGATTTGGACTACAGTAACACTTTCTCTCCTGTCACCAAAATGACATATGTCCAGCTACTCATATCTATGGCTACCATTCGTCATTGGCCGCTTTTTCAGCTTGATATCAAGAATGTTTTTCTTTATGGTGATCTTTAAGAAAAAGTCTATATGGAGCAACCTCCTGGATTAGTTGCTCAAGGGAAGTCTTCAGAACTTGTTTGTTGTCTTCAAAAACCCTTTATGGTCTCAAAGTCAAACAAACTCGAAGGACATGGTTTGGCAAATTCAGCATGGTAGTTCAATAGTTTGGCATGACTCGAAGTGAAAAAAATCACTCCATTTTTTGTCATTATTCAACTTTAGGTTTTATTTACTTAATTATGTATGTAGATGACATCATCATTACAAGAAGTGATCATCATGGCATTGAACAGGTAAAGCAATACATTTGTCAATACTTTTAAACAAAAGACTTTGGCAGACTATGATACTTTTTGGGGATTGAGGTGACACAATCCAAGAGTGGTGGTGTGATTTCCTAAAAGAAGTATGCAATGGATATCCTAGAGAAAATAGGATTGATGGGGGTCAAACCTATTGATACTCCTATGGATCCTAATACCAAACTTCTGCCAAGTCAAAGGAAGCTACTTTCAGATCCAAAAAGGTATAGAAGACTTGTTGAAAAATTAAATTATCTGACAATTACTTGCCCAAACATTTCTTTTGCAGTCAATGTGGTGAGTCAGTTCTGTAACTCTCCTTGTGATGAACATTGGGATGCAGTAATTCGTATTCTCAAATGTATTAAAGGAGCTTCAGGAAAACAAAACACAGGCCTCTAAGGCATAGATATTAAACTCATAACAAAGATCAAAGTCAAACTAGTCAAAAAATTGGGACATTAGCAATGTTATCAATGGCAGATGACGGCTCATGGCGGAAACAAAAAAAACTGCCATAAAGTTATGGCGGCAACTATGGCAGTTATGGCAAATTTATGGCAGATATAATAAAATATATAAAAAATATTATAGTATGCATATATAATATTTATGTACACAGAAATTTAATATAAATGCTCAAGAAATTCTCAAGATTACATTTCATCATTCCAAGTAAGTGTAAAAAAGAAAAACACTGCAGCATGGATGTTATATTAAACAAAAAATGCTAAATAGAGCTTGAACAGCAAAACTGAAGATGAATAGCAAAACAGATCTTGAACAGAAAAGCAAGAATGATCAGTGAATAGTAAAATAGAGCTCAATCAGAAAATCATAATAGGTGCCGGAAAAGCTTATTTCTCGGGTGAACAGCAAAGCAGAGGAGACGCCAGAAAAACTGACTTCTCCGGCGAAATGGAGTGAGTGACCCTTCGGACTAGCTGATTTTTCCAGCAAAATGGAGTGGGAGAGTCAGTGAGGATGGGAGAAACTACTACATTGAGGTTTCGACTTTTCGTGCAGAGAGGAAGAGTGTGGAGGAAGATGAAATATATGCTTTATCAAGGGTAAATGACCTTTCTACCCTTAAAAATAATCAAAACAGTGCATTTAGAAAAAAAAAATAGAAAAGGGTTTCTTCCTTTCCCCAAAATGGCACAACAGCACCTGTGACTTCTCCCTATTCTAGCCGCAAACCACTTGCAACCACCGCGACGCAACAAACGCCCTGTAATGTGGTGGTAGTGGCAGCCAACAGCTGCTCCACACCGCACCAGCTTTATCGCGCTGCTATTAACAACTCACCTTAGGGTTTTTCTGCGCGGGTCAACCTCTGGACTGGGTCGTGTTCACAGCCCAACCTTGCAAAAACGCCATTTTTTAACAATTTCCACCTATTGCCATGCGCATAACGGCCGCCATGGAAAAACGCCAAAAAACACAAACGCTGTAAAGGTGGGGTTAAAAACCACCACCAAATTTCGTCATGGCCGCCATTTAACAACACTAGACCATAGGCCACTATTAAAATCATTATTGGTTGTAGTTGGGTTTATGCTTTAAATTTGAATCTTAACAGTTCTATTGCTCAATTTGAAACCTGCCTAGCTGCAAAGGGATGTGCCCAAATAAAAGTTTCACCTATACTGGTATTTCTCTAGTATAATCGACATTAGTTAATTCTTAACAATTACCTCTTGCATCAGTTGGAAGCAATGAACACATTTCTTCATTGTGAGCATACAAAGAAAACCATATACGGAACAAACACCTGGTTTTGTTGCTCAGAGGTGGGGAACCACAATATTTGTTTATCAAATTATTCATTCTTCAGTTCAAAGCAGTAGCCTAAAAAATTTTGTTTGGTAGGTTTAGGGATGTAATCTAACATTTTGGTTTTACAAGGAGCAAGAGTGGCCATACTATTTAAACATTCTGATTGTTAGCTACATGTTTTGTTAATTGTTTGTTTATGTAGATAAAACCTTGTGTGGTAAAGCTTTGTTGCCTTTGTTGTAGTTAATTGTTTGTGTAGATGAAAACATGATCACAAACAGTGACAGGGGTGATATGTATGCTCTGAAAATGCTGTGAAAGCCCAAAAGCTAGCTACAATGAAGGACGAGGGAAAGGACATAAAAGGTATACTTTTAAAACCATGTTATGTCAAGAGAATACACAATAGTGACACATTGTGCAAGTTTTCATAGTAAAAAGAAACATAATATAATAGCTCAACAGCAGCATCATAGACTTTAGAGAACAATAAAATTTACCTTGAGCAGAAGCTTCCCAGTTCCCAGCACAAAACCAGCATCAGTATTACCAATCCCTGTAGCAAATTGACCAAATGCTCCAGCAGTACAAGTGTGAGAATCAGTACCTAAGAGAACCTGAAGGTAACATAACAAAATTAGCAAAGCAGGAAATTCTGTCAAACAAATGAACAATACTTCACCATAGTTTAAATAACTTGTTAAACTAATCAAACCTCTCCTGGCCTACAATGACCTTCCTGAGCAAGAGCAACATGGCAAACACCCTTATAGTCTGGATTTGCCTGCATTTTTATAATCCCACAGTTAGTGTTCATGGATAGTGTGCATTACAGTGCTCTTTTACAAATTGAAACAACCAAATTAATATTGAAAAAGTCAAAAGAATGCATACCTTAAAATTACTAAGATCCTTAATATCATAAAAGTACTTGATATTCTGCTCGTGGCAAAAATCTCTTAATATGTCTACGTTGCGATTGGCTCGTTCATCACTTGTGAATATATAGTGGTCAGGTATTATTACAACCTTTTCACGGTCCCAAACCTTCAAATTAACAACACAATCAGGAAATTACAAAACTTAGGTCTCAGCATATAACGAGATTGACAATCAACTAATAGTAGAAAAATTAATATCATTCTATGAGCCACATAAATATAAGCACTAAACCCAATATAACTTTTTTGCACATGCTATTAGATACATTGTTATGCACAGAAAGCTTTCAAGGTAAAAGAATCAATAGTATGACCGGAAATATCAAATGCACAGCACACTTAAACCAGTAAAGTCATTCCTACAAAAAATAAATTACCATTCTATATCCCTTTTTAGTGATTACAAATACTAGCATCACTCATAGGAATTTTAAATTGACAAAAATCTCGAGAAAAAAGCACATAATTACTTGTTGATAAACGGAAGAGGAGTGCTAGAAATACACACTCTAACACACTCTCTGTTGTTGGCTGAAATTTATTAGGAACTACAAAAGTATGAGTGAGAATCATTAAATTAGGAGTGATTTCCTATAAATTATAGCCAAATAATAAAGGGTATGTTAGAGAATGTGTTACTACAATTTCTCTAATCAGAAAAATATTACTCCGATTGTTCATCATATCAATGTCACCAACATGACCCTGATCCTATTTTTTTCCCACAACCATCAAAATTCATCCTTACATAAATTTCCTAAATCGACATCAACATTTCCAGTGGCCATCCAATCCAAGCAGATACAAACCACGTTCATACATCAGCTCTCCAAAAAACCAATCCCAATTAAGTTCACAACCATCAGAAATCAAAATTACGAAAAAAAAAAAAAAAAGCGCCAAATTACCTTGGCATCCTCACCAAACTCCCTCTTGAAAATTCCAATAGAACCAGGGCCACACACATCATGTGTCATCAAAATGTCAACGTTGACCCAAACATTATCCCCAGGGCTCAACTGTGCCTTCTCCGAAGCTCTAGCCAATATCTTCTCAGTCATGGTCATCCCAGTCTTCACCTGAAACACATCAAAACCATCAACAAGGACTCAACAACAATCTTAAAATCCAAAAGGGTAACCGAAACACCAATAGAAACAGAACTGATCCAGTGGTATAAGGCTGGCGCTGTGGCGCTGAAACAGCACAAGAGATTCTCCTTGGAACCACTTTGAGGCATCTCTGATATGCGAAAGCAGAGAGAGCCGGATCCTTCAGAGAGACAAAAAAAAAAGAGGGGGGGTGAGTTTGAGCAAAGTTAAGCCCTTTGGGGCAAAAGGGGTGAAGAAAAACGAAGTCTTTTGCAGCATGGAAAAGAGAAGATTGAGATAAGTAACAATGATGCGTTGGATTTGCGAGTGGGAAAGGGGGTACCAGAGATCGAACCTTGGTGTGGAGAAAGGAAGTGAAGGATGGAGAAAGAAGCGAGGAAGCCATTGTTGATGTTTGATGTTTGGAGGCTGTGTCCTAAAACTGATGTTTTGTTTGTGGACTCTGTTGGGTGATTCCTCACTGAGTTTGTGCTGTGTTTTTTATACTAGGCTCTTCGTTTCTCTCTCTCGGCTCAGGCAACTCGTGAACGCGTGTTAAGTTTTTTAGTTTGGATTATTATTTATGCTTTTAGTTCTCATATTACGATGACTTTTTTATTTTGATTCCTTTTAACCATTTTTTCATTTTATCTTTTAAGATTCTGTCAATTAAATTTTTAAGTAGAAATCTCTTAGATTACGTCATCATTAGAAATTAAAAATATCTTTTTTAAACTATCAGAATTAAAATTAAAAGAAAATCATTAAAAAAATAAAGAAAAAATACTAAAATATTTTAGTTTTGGATTATTATTTTATGTTTTAGGCTTTTTTTGGACAAGTCATTTTAAAATTCTTTGGATAGTAAAAAAAATGTAGTTTTAAAATATAAAAGAATTTTAATTAGATAATTTGTATATTAAATAAAAGAAATTTTAAATGATTTATTTCTTAAAAAAATTAGAAATATATATTATATTTAAATTTTTATTTTTGTCATTTATAACTTCTCTCGTACTTGACTTTCACTCTAAGCATTTTTTATTATTATTTTCATATTTTTAAAAATTTTAAAATCTTTCATTTAAACATTTTTTAGTTATCATAATTTTATAACTTTTATTTTGATTAGAACTATGTTTGTTATCTTACTGTTTAAGATTTTGTCAATTTAATTTTTAGTCTTTATTATTAACATAATTTAATAAGAAATTAACATATAGCAATTTTTTGATAAATCACATCATTAGAAATTAAAAATAATTTTTTGAAAGATATAAGAATTAAAATTAAAAAATATTAAAAAATAAAGCAAAAAATATTTAAATTATTTTAAATATAAATATTATAAATTATAAAATTAATCAATTCAAACGTTAATTTGAAAGTTCATAGTAAGTATATTAATTTTATAAAATTTTATGAAAAGTAAAATTATTAAATACTTCATCTTATTATTTTATTTGATCCAATAGTATATTTTTAAAATATAAGTAAATATTAAATTTATAATACCAATAATATCATATAACATTCTTAATTTATATTTCTAATTGTGACATAAATTATATTAAAAAATAATTTAAATAAATACTTTTATTTTTATAACTTAAAGAATTAAGGAAAAGTCAAACTTTCATTTTAAAAATTTAATCAATGATACACATATATATAAATTTAAAGCATAAACAATATTATCTTATGATAGAGTAAATATTTTATTTAAAATAAATATAAACTTCAATTAAAATCACTAACTATCAATATTATAAATACATTTCAAATTAATATTTACAATTCAATTTATCAGCGGTATTATGAATTCAAAAAACAATATTTAGAATAACTACATAACTTTGTCAAATTAAACTAAAAGCTTATTGAAATATTACAATTTTAAATAATTTAAATTCTACATAACAGTCTTTCCTCTCAATCTTTCTTTAATTATCTTCAAAGTCTGTCCCCTGAAAATGTTTAGTAAGGGTGAGTATACTCCGTCCTACTAAGTCCTCTATTTATCGGAAAAGGTTATATAATATTGAAAATATTATTTAATACATTTTTAACCTACATTGATTAACAATAACACATAAATCATACAATTCATTCTCATAATAGAGCACATATATTTTCACACTGAGCTGTATGTCATAAGACATATATTATATCACATCAATCAATATGTTATAATACATGTGTCCTAACCACACTCGTCGATGTATTACAGCACATATATCATAACAACACTAATAGATATGTTACAATGCATATATTATAATCACACAATCTCTATACTACTTCACATTTATCTCACTTTCATCATCATTGTCCTTGAGATCCCTTGAGGACTTCATAGTATAGATAGCTACTGGTTAGTCGCAATAATATAGATTTCTCATGAAATGAGCAATGACCACCCTCATTTTTTCAAGATTTTCCAAATCTTCTTCGGACTCTATACTTTTATTGTATCTCTGTAACTATTTATACAATGTCTCTGCATTTCTCATAACACTTATTTTCTCAGCATTTCACACAACATTTTCTTTCTCAACATTTCTCATTTCATTTTCCACATCCTTTTCATCGATTAGTATATCATAATACATGAGTTATAATTTGTATAAATCCATGTATTATAATACATGTATTATAAGTACACCATTGGATATATTACAATACATGTATTATAATCACACCTATCAGTCAATTACGACTCACATATTATAAACACACATCTATAATTCTACAATCATGTCATATTATCTCCTTTATATATAGTATTCTTTCTTCTTTCAAGATCAGTCAAACACTTCCATCAATAATATAAATTCGCCCATTTTAACATACATCAACTATCAAACAACATCTATATTTATTGTATCATATCAGTATAACACAAAGAATCATCAAACAATGTCACACCATGCAATCAATACAATATGTTAAAGGTCAGACACCTTCAGACTTAGCCCAGACGTACAACTTAATATATGTACTTTCTTAGTATTAATAAAATCATCTATCCTAAAGTTTGACATCTTCTAATGCATATATTATGCAAAATAATATTTCAATATTAATAGTACATATATAATGGTGGTAAAATCTTAAAACTCTTCAAAAACTTAGTTGCTCATAATCTTTACTATAAAATTTTGTCTAGAAAGTTTCTTAAATAAGTTATTGGTTTCTCATGCCCAAAATTTCATTCTTAGTACTAGAGTCTTAATAATTAATGGGGTTCTATTACCCAAAACGAGAATACTGGAGTCAGGGTTTAAAACGAGGTTTTCTTTCCCAAAATCCCTTTTTAAACTATGATTCAAGGAAATCTTGTAACTTTGCTATTTAGAATCAAGTAGTTGAGTTTTCTAAGTTAAATTACATAAAGAAGACTTAGAGTTCGGGATAACTCCCCTTACCTGAAAACAGGTTTCTAAGACTATGTTCTTCACGAGATCTAGAGGAAACACAAGGTCATAATTGAGGATACCACCCAAGGACCAAGATTTTTCCTTGATATCACAAAGGAAAGTACTTATAAGAAGAGAAATAAAACGCAGTTTGAAGAACTAAACTCTGAGAAACTTACTTGAATCTGAATGGAATAGATGTTCAAACTCAGATTTGGAAGAAGTTTGGGGTATCGGAGAGTTTTCTCTGAGAAGGAAGAGTGAGAGAACAGAGAGAATAGAATGGGAAGGTTATTTGGTTCTAAAATGAAGATTTCTTTACAGTAAGCAGCTCTCGCTATAACGGAAAACTAGATAATATTCTACCTTTGTTGTTTGTCATTCTAGCTACAAAGACAGATCATCGCTACGACGAGAAATTCTAGTTATAGCGAGAATGTTGTTGGGTCATCCTTATTCACTTCTTGCTATGACGAGACTCTCTCACTACAACAAGAGGGCTTTGTCAGGCTTATAATATATTATTGAAAAAGTCTATAATATTTTATACTCACTAAAAGTTAATTGAATGGTTTTTTAGTATTGAAATAGATTTAGATGAAGTTTTGAAAAAAAAAAAAAAAGGAACATTGTCGACGAATAATGATTCCGGTGTGAACAGTAAGTCAATGAATAGTAACTTCTAGTGTGAACAGTAACTTTCGACATGAATAGTAAATTTAAAAATTTTTTCCTATAAATAGGGGTTTTATGAAATTTTCATTGCTTTACACTTCTCAAAGGTTCTCAAAGGTTCCAAGGCTATATACCACTATTTTCTCTCATACTAAACTCTCCTAAACTTAGATTTCTCTCTAGATCTGTGATTCTGCATCTGTTTTAAGGGTGAACAGTAACTTCCAGTGTGAATAGTAACTTTCAGCATGAATAGTAAATTTTAAAATTTTTTCCTATAAATAGGGGTTTCACGAAATTTTCATTGCTTTACACTTCTCAAAGGTTCTCAAAGGTTCCAAGGCCATATACCACCATTTTCTCTCATATTAAACTCTCTTAAACTTAGATTTCTCTTCAGATCTGTGATTCTGCATCTATTCTAAGGGATTTAAAGTAAGTTTCTCTAAGTTTGAAGTTAGATTCACCATTTGTTTCTCTTCTTCTCTTTCTCATAGAAGTTCATGGTGTTCTCAAGAGAGACTCTATTCTAAAGTCAAATCTTCAGTGAATCTTGCGTTAAAATAAGTAATATTCAGTAGATCTTATGTGAATCACCGTTCTAAGGTAAGGGGAGCTTATTTTATCCTATGAACTATGTTTTAAACAGTTTGATATGCTATTAAAGAAATATTTGAGTTAGTTTTGTTAGATCTCTTTGATAAAAGCTGAGATATAAAGGATCTAATACTTGAAAGTTATTTTTTTTCTACTCTGTAACTGTTGATAATTGATTTAATAATACTGAGATTTGACTGATTTATTATAAACTTGTCCTAGCTAAGCTGTTGAAATGATTTTAGCTGTACTGTATCATGCTGAGATATATGTCTTGTATCATTATAGAGCCGAGTTACACGTTTAGGTGAGTAGACGTGTAACAATAGAGCATACTGAACTGTGCTATCTGAATCCAGATACCGGAATGGGTCACTCTCGGACCGGCTTGATTCCTTTTGGATTACTTAGGCTGTGAAACCAGGTGGAAACCCTTTTCATGTTATGCATTAGATGGGCTAGAAATGCATGGGGTTGTTGCTGTGAGTAATATTTTGCTCTATATATATGATTTTATTTTATTTTTGTAAGCTCACCCTTGCATTTTTGTCTACGATGGTACCTGACCAGATGTGGCAGGTGTTGCATCTACTTCATAGACTAAGGGGCCAGTGGAGAAATGTTAGAAGCTGGAGTTGAGTAATTTTGCATTAAAGTCTTTTTTCCTTATATTTTAAACCTCATATAGAGAGAGTGATGTAGTAAAAAATTTTGTGTATTTTGAGTATTATGAACTAAATATAATATTATGTTGTTCTGTTGGATATTTGTCATAA